CTCAAAGTGCTTACTGCACTGTTAAAAAGGGGAGTACGTGTGAAAAATTAATATACACACCAGAATGAGCTAAATGTTGTGATGTAAGAACAGATAATGATGGAAGAAAAAATACTGTTGTTTAATTGGGAAGTAGGAGAAGAAAACAGTGACTGCTTCAGAGAAGACATAACCCTGAACTGAGCCTGTGGAACAGTTGGAATCTAACTCCTTGCAGAAGCATGGCTGTAAGATGAAATACAGAAGGGAAGTAGGGAAAATAATCTAGAGGAAGAACAAACCAGTCCCACTAGAGACCAAGAGGCCCTGAACCAAGAGAATGTTATCATCTTAGAAACGAGTAGGCAGTATCAGGCTCTACCTCCAATCCCAATTGCAAGAGTTTTCCAGCTTACAGCCACTCAGTTTGCTTAGTGAAGACAATGCTGAGACTGAGTTTTTATATGTCAAAATTGAAAAAAAAGAGAGTATTAATCATCAGTAGCCAGAGCATCAGCGGAGGGATGGATTTGAGGTGTAAAAAGATGGTTGTGAGCACAGTTTCAGACAGAGTATGAGCAGAAGATATACCCTCCTCTGAAGGAAAGGCAAAAAAAAAAAAAAAAAAAAAAAAAAAGAAGAAGAAGAAGAAGACAAAGACAGAATAAATGACTCTGGTCCGGCTATTTGTACTCCTATCCTCATTTATATGTAAACACCCCCCCCCCATAGTTGCACTGGGGTTAGAGAAGGTAGAGAAGGCCTTCAGGAACTTAAGGCCACAAGAAGATATCTCTGGTGAAAAATAGTTCTTCACCAAACACCTAATCTGCTGGTCCCATGATCTCTGATCTCTAGGCTCAGGAGCTGGGAGAAATGAATTTCTGTTGTTTATAAATTGCTTGGTCTGTGGTCATTTGTTACTGCAGTCAGAACAGACTAAGACAAATGAAGACAAACAGAAAATCTGAAGTAATAAGAATTGAGGATGCCTACAACACGTTAGAAAAAAAGAGGGTAAGGAATAAAGTGAGTAGGGTTGGGAGCTGTACAGATTTCATTGTGATGCATGAGAGAGAGTGAAAGTGAAATGAAAGAAAGAGAGAAAAAAGAGAAAGAGAGTGAAGATGGGGGCTGGGATATGGGAGGATCTTTTAAGAAACAACTACCTGCTAACAGGTGGTAAATACCAAGAAGAAGCAAGCAACCTACTTTCCAGGCTCTCTGTTCTGCCTCAGAGACTAGACACATGGGAGCTGATGGGAAGAATGAATGCCTGAGGCCAACTAGGCCAATGAAGCAGTTAAGACTCTGACTAGTCTTCCTGTCTTCCCACTAAGCGCTATTACTCGTACTTGCCCAGGGATAAAAGGCCCCGTCTGCCTTATTTCAAACCTCTGCAGTAAAACTACCTCAAAGAAGCACGCAATCGCTCAAAGATAACTGAGCACCCTCCGCTGCTGATTGTGCTGTGTTGTGGTTGTGCTCAGTGTTTACGTGTGTACATGTTCACGTGGGAAGGTATGAGTGTATGCCAGAAGGGCGCCCCAGGTCTAGTTCCTCAGGAGCCATCACCCTGGCTTTTGAGATAGTCTGTCACACCCATGTCAGTCAGCTCACAATTTCCAGTAACTCCGATTCCAGGGGATCTGACAACTTCTGGCCTCTGTGAGCACCTGTGCTCATATTCACACACACATGCGCACACACATATAATTTACAAGGTAAAAAAAACTGATTTTTTTTTAAAAATAGAAAAAGAATTACATTCAAAATTGTAAAGTGTTTGAATAGACGTTTCTTCACAGAAGATATACCAGTGGCCAAAAGGCAAATGAAAAATGAAAACCACTGGGAAAATGTCAATCACATGAGATCTGCTCTTGCAAGATGGGATGGGTATGAGGCTCTGTGACCATAGACACAGGAAAATGCAAATCCAATCACAAAGAGACTCCACTTCACCCTAGGGTAGCGATTACTGAAACAATAAATGAAAAGAGCGAACCGCAGGTGTTGATGAAGAGGTGGGTGAGCTAAAGCCACTGTTCCCTACTGGTGGACCGTGAAATTGTGTAACTGCTGGAGAAAACAATATGGAGGCTCCTCAGAAACTGAACACAGGAGCCAGGGGTTCTACACACCTACGGGCATGGCGACACTGTTCGTGATAGCAAAAACTGGTCCGAGTATTCATCAAGGGATGGATGGCCAAACCACAGGTGATAGACGAATGTTATTCAGCTTAAAAAGGTAGGAGACGCTCGCATGTGCTACAACACGGATGAACCTTGGAGATACTACAGAAGATGAATTAAGTTCATCATGAAACATTTTGTGATTCCACAGGGGGTGGATGGTGGCAAAATAACATAACAATGTGACTATACTTAATGCTACGGAACTGCATGTTTAGAGGTTATTAAAATGAGACATTTTGTGTTGTGAATATTCTTTTACAATAAAGAAATCGCCATTCTCAGAGGCAGGGGCAGAGGCCAAGTCTAAGCTAACTTTTCCTGATGCCATGACAGAAGGACAAAGTGACACTTGAACATCTTTTTGTACCCGGCACTCACTTATCCACACACAAAAGAAAAGGCTAACCCACATGAAACTCTGACTATGTGCTGTTATCCCTTTTTCACCAGGAAGAAACTAAGGTTCACAAGTGAATGGACTGAGTCAAGTAGAACAAGGCAATGGCAGGAGTCAAAGGCACACCGTTCTGCTTCCAAAGCCTGTGTTCCTGGTGCTCTCCAGCATTCCTTTCTTTTCCTCACACTCATCTTTTGTGAACAGGTTTTCTACTTTTAGACTTAAAAGTTAGTGGAGCAGACAAAAAAAGTTATTCCGCTAAACACATCAGTACATACCCATCACACGAAGCTCAGCGCTGGCCATCAAGTAATGAGTCACGTTTCCATTTAGTCATTGACCATATGTCAGGAAACACACATATACATAATTAAAATTTCAGTGTTTGTTGACTCCCTCTACAGCCACCAATACCCTGAGCAAGAGAACGCCTGTTAGGAATCTCTATGGCCAAAACGGTGGGAACAGTCTCATTCTGCATCGTAGAAGCACACCCATCCATTTCTTGCTTAAGAACGAATTCTGCCCTCATCCTTACTGATGTGCAGTCTCTCACTCACGTTCTGCCTCAAGCTGAAATTTAAGAACTAAGAAAGTGTTTTGTGCTGTGCAGAAGAAAATAGGCATCTCTCCGTTGCTTTCAGAAAGATAGCAGAGGGGGGATGGGGGAAGGTGGTCTTGACTCTACTATGCCTACTGGCTACGGTTTCATCATCTCAGTCTCCTGTGAGACACATGGGAGGAGTAGCACATGTTTTCAAGACATCCCCAAACAAAGCAGGGTGTTGGCATCATCTGAGAAACTCGGGCTGTAGACAGATCCAGTAGCCGGGAGGCCCAGCTTCTCTATCATTCAGAGACACACAGCCTGATCGCCAGGTTCCAGATCTAGCTAGGTCTTCATCCAGAAGAATAGGGCTACATGCTTTGCTTTAGGATGCAATGGGGATTGTGGACTCCTAACACGACTTGCTTTGATTAAATTCAAGAAATCCTTCCCAAGAGCCCCATGGTTCCAGCAACTCCTACACATACCCAGGAAAATAGAAATTCATTTCTTCTGAGATACGAAAGCTTCCTGTTTCAAAAAAATGCACTGCTAACTCCACAAATTCTGAGAAGCCAAATTAAATTTCAGAAAAATGACAAAACAAAACAGAATCCCAAGCGCATGGCTTCTTCAACTGACAATGGTTTTATCACAAAAATACATACCTTCTCAATTGGTATATTTGGTTGTTTAAAAAAAACAAACTTGTATTTTACTAATTCATGAGTATTCAAACATGCCGCTGTGCTGTTTACATTCCACCGCCCGAGGTTCTTTTTTTGCTTTGAAAAATTATCTCCTTTCATTATACAAAAAAGTAAAAATCATTGTAATCGATGCTCTCTTATGCTTAACCACACTTTGTGTTGAAGATTTTTTTTTAATTATGCCACAGTTTAACTGTTTGTCTTACATGTTCTGCCAAAGAAAACTCATAATCTCAGTTCAAGCCCGTTAGATTCTTTATTGCACTTTTACATATATCATTCATAAACGCGAACGAGTTTCCGTCCCAGGCTCACTATCAGCACTCGCTGCTTAGGAAATATTACAGAATAAAAACTGTATTCTGATTCTATTACTTCAGCGTACAGCATACACAGACAAGGAAACAAACCAGATCACTTTGATATTATCTCTCTAACTGGAATTAACAATCGCTTTAATCTAGAGAGGAATAAAATACAAACAGGCATAAAACCCATTCACACACCGGGGGCCGATTTTCGGCAAGTTAAGGTCCCTCATCCGGCCACGGTCCTTTAAATGAGGATGCAACTTTAGGGTAAGACCTACTGACAAAGAGCTCTGAGGTTACCCTGCAAGCAGCTGCACGGAGCAAAGAGGAAGCACCGGTTCCTCAGTGGTAACCCTGCCTCTCCCTCGCAAAATCCGAGCCTTTGTTGGTAAAAACCTATGTACAAAAGGACCCAACCTCCTCACAGCCAAACCACAGCCATCATGTTGCAGAGACGGCCAAGCAAAATACATACACAAACGAAAGTACTAACATTTTTCACTCCTTACACCCCAAAACAAGGGTCTGCCACGCTCGGATGCCCAGGCTGCAGCTTCACAGCCCAGCTGACTGCAACTCAGCCCTGCCTGGCTGCCGGCCCAGCTAAGCAAACCACTTCTTACACTAAGCTTGTCCTAAACACTGAGGGTGGTTCCCCACACCCCAGACAAAATATGTCACAAATCTGACCATCATTCCTGGGGAAAAAATAAAATAAAAATCCCATCTTAATCACTTCCCCCAAGCCCGAAGTAACGTTCCTTGCTTTCCTAAGATATCTTCCCTAAAATCCACAGGCACTACTGTCATTCTATCTGGATGCAAAAGGAGCTATAAGGAAAACGTGTCCTTTACCTTGCTTGGTTCCGGAGGCTTGGTTAGAGGGCAGCTTCCCCTGGCGGAGCAGATCTGTGGTGAGCTCGGCCCGCCCAGCCCAGCCCAGCCTAGCCCAGCCCAGAACAGCCCAGCCCAGCCCAGCGCAGCCCAACCCAGCCGTAGTAGGAGCTGCCCACCAACTGGCTAGAGTGTCTGTGTGTGTAGCAGCCCCTGCAGCCCAGGCGCGAGTCCCCACCCAGCTTTGTCTCCAATCATCATTTCTACAGGAAGCAGCGCATCTCCCACTTCCTCCTCTCCAACCAAGCCAGCTTTCTTGTTTGCCTCTCACTCTGGTTCAGGGCTTCCTCCAGGTGGCTTTGCTTGCTGCTGATGGTAGTTTGGCTCAACTCCCCTGAACCCCTTTGTTCCAACGCCCCTCCACCCTCACCCCCTCCTGCACTGTGTCTCCTGCCATTTCTCATTTCCCAGTCCTCATCTCCCAACAGTGTCCACACTCTGCCTCAGTGGATCTCCTTCCCAACACCTAAACTGCTTTCTCATTCTGAACTGCGGCCACTGGTTTTATTGGGCCAGCGGCCCCCACCAGACCCTGGTCCTGAGATCCCGGGCCAAGCTCCACAGCTCCTTCTGATTTATGGACTATCTGCATTCCCAGGCAGCTTACAGTTTTTTGCTGCTGAGTTTTTCCTTTGTGGCCAACCTTCCCGGAGCTTTATTTCCCCAAGGTCTCCCTACCACTGAGATTTTATTTAACCCATATGCTTAGAAAATAATGGCCCCACAGGACTTCTTCTGGGACATGGGAGCTAAGCCAAGTGCTGCAATGCTGAGGTAGGCCTAACAGTGAAAACAGTCTAAGAGGAGTGGGGTGGTCCTGAATGGCCTAGATTTCCAGCCCAGAAATAGATCCCTCCTCCACCACCCACGAATAGATTGGTAAGGCTGGGGAGCCCATAGATTCAGAAGACAGGATGGTGTCATGGATAAAGGTAGACCCTACTGCCAGCCTGTTCACCAGAGTTAGAACCTGAGCTGTCACGCCTGCCTGTGAACTCAGACAAATTACTTAACTTCTATGATGTACCTCAGTTTCCCCACTTGCAAAATAGAAATGATTATACCACATTTAAACACAGTGAAAATCTGAGAACTAAACAAGACCAGACATGCGGTGCTTCTAATGGTTACTGGAACAGAGAATATATTCGGCACATACTAGCAGATATTATTTACAAGAGGTTGAGACTCCAAGGTGACAAGTGGCTTAGGCAGTTACTAGCCAAACTGAGACCAGGTTTTATACCCCTGGCTTTCCCCACAGTCATGCTCACAGCTGAGCCCTGCTGCTCAGGGTAGCAATTTAAGCCAAGGCTTGACTTATTCTCTCTCTGGATTAAGTAACACTCTGGGGGAAGCTGCAGTTTGAATACCAGCAGGGAGATGGGGTGGGAGGGAGTGAGGTGGGAAAGTGAGTCCTTGTTCCAGAAGGGAGGTGATGGTGGTAGCTCACTACTGTAGTCTCAGTACTCAGTAGCTGAGACAAGAGAATGGCTTTGAGCTCAAGGCTCTCTGGGTTACATGGTGAGACCCTGTCTCAAATGTAAATAATAAATCCTCCTCAGAAGTCAGGCCTCAAAAGCTAACCTTCTCAAGCATTAGAAATAATCTCCAACTGTATTTTTAAGGTCATGCTCTACCTTCATTCACGAGCAAGGAAACTGCCAGGAACATTAGAAATCTCAAATTGATGCAGGCTCATCAAGTATGCCTTCCTGACTCACCTTGGGGACCACATCATGTCATCCCGGCAGGCACAGAATTCAGTCTCAGTGAAATGTTCTAAGACAAATCTAGGTTCCCTTTTTGTTTTGATTTCAAGTTCCATGAAGTTTCTTAGAAATCTTTTTTGTTGTAAGGGACCCTGATGTTAACTTGCTAACATCTGAAAACTACGAAGCAAAGTTTTTTCTAGTTGTTGTCATTTGTTTGTTTGTTTTTCAAATTAAAACTGAGGAACCAACTCTAAAGTAGCAACAAATAGAAGTGTTGTGCTAGAAGAAGACCTGGCTGAGCTCCAGTGTAACATGGGTTACCACCAATCCAAGATGCCTGATGCCAAAGGTTACAGAAATTTCTAATGTAAATTATATACATACATAACATACATCACTCACATATATTTAATACACAAACATAAATATATACGTATATATGTGATGCTAAGCCTAAGGGAGAGGGGACATATGTTTAAAGTTTGGAGAAATTATAAAAACAAGACTTTGGTCATTTTTAGACCAGTTAAATCTAACATTAGCTATGGATTCAGATAGATCTTTACTTTTAATCTTCTCTCTGTCTCTCTGTCTCTGTCTCTCTCTCTCTCTCTCTCACTCTGTGTCTCCAAGAGAAAGAGGTTGGTACTTTTATTTAAGCTTTTATAAGAAAATCTCTTTTGAACAATATATCACTAGGAATTTGTCCTGCTGCCTTCTAATCCATCCTTTCATCTCTGGTCATAAAACTCACAAGTAGGTTGATCTACTCTGCTCCAGGAGAAGCCAACCAAATTCCTCAAAATAAAAAACTAAATTTAAATTTTTTCTCCTTCCTGTCATTGGCCTCATTGCTTTCAGTTCTAGCAGCTTTTTTTTTTTTTTCTTTTTTCAGGAGACAAAAGTCAAGTGTAGGTGTGCAGCTTGGCCAGAAGAAGAGATTAAACCAGGTGAGAGCTGAACCGAAGCATAGGAAACCCTGACCTCAAGTCTACAAAGTATCTATTTCATTTTACCTTAGGTGAAATGTTTATGCCATCATCTCTTAGATACAAGCTGCCTTTCATACATTTGATCAATGCAGAGATAAAAGTCTGAAACCCTCTCTAACATTCGCTACTCTTCTTGTTTGCAGAAATTAATACCTTGCTATGTTTCTTGTATTTCTCTGATACTGGGAGCTGATGAGGACACAAAGGACATCATTTCAGCCTGTACTTAGTCTTTCCTGTATTTTTGAGCATTCTGGCTAGAAAATTCTTTGGGATTTCTAAGCATACTTTAATCTGAAGCCTATCCTTCTCTCTACAGTCTCCTTTTCTTTTTTTTTAAATGAGGCACATCAACCAATCATACCCACAGTATTAGGATGACCTCAGACCTCTTTTTCTTTGCTATTTCAAAATAAATCAGTCTTTGATTGCTACCTCCAAATTACCTCTTTACTCAAGATGCTCCTCTCTCTTCCCCCGCCACCACCTTCTGTCCTCGCTGCTTGGGTTTCCCTGTATGACTGCAATGATCCTACTGTACATTCTACCTGCAGCCGCTCTTCTAAGTCATCCTCACCAGAATGACGGTTTCAAAATGAAAAGTTGATCATTTTGTGTAAAGAGATTTTTAATCCAGCAACATTGCCACTCTGATCACATCCAAAGACCTTTTAGGTCTGTGTGATCTGGCTGGAATGCAGACACACCTTTAGTACACAGCTTTAATCCCACACAATTAAGGTAAAGTTAGCTTGTAGGAGGAAGAAGCATCCATGTTCAAAAGTGATATCTAACTGAAAGGCAGAAAAAGAGAGAGAGAAGTCAGTTTTACTGGGAGAGTTTTACAGAGACAGATTGAAGAGAGAATAAGCTAGACACAGGTGAAGACAGAAAAAGCCAGAAAATGAGAAGGAGCCAGAAGATTAGAACACTTTGCTAGGGTTACTTTGAGGACAAGAAGAGCAATTCAGTCAGAAACTAAGAGAAGCCAGTTTGAATCAATCAGCTAGGAGAAGAGTTTGAATCAGAACAGAGGAGTTGAATCAGCCAGTCCAGAGTTCAGAAAGAGGTAGAAAGGGTGAGATTATTCAGCAATAAATCTCAGGCACTGAAAACAGTCTAGGTCTAGATTAGGTTGTATGGAGGTTAGAAGCTTCCAGGACTAGTCCTAGGTTAGCAGACTGAGACAAGCCTACAAGATGACAATTACATTAGGCAAATAAAAGATACTTTAACAATTTCACTGCCTTGTTTTCATTCCTCTCTCCCTTTCAGCCCTCCCCATGCCATAAGATATACAGGCCTAAACCCCTTTGCACAGCACACAAGACACTACATGATGTCATCTGTCCACACTACAGCCCTATTGCCTCTTTCGATCTCATGTAGACATTGAGTAATAGAGCCTGCTTCCCACCCCCACCCACCACCTCTGTACCTTGGCACCTACTATTCCCATCTCCAGACACATCCTTATCCTTCTGTCCATGATGTATTCTGGAAACCCTTTCTCAGAAGCCTTCTGTGATGGTTCATTTTCATCATCAGCCCGGCTAGATTTAAAAGGAGATATCTCAGGATATGTCTGTGAAGGTGTTTCCAGAGGTGCTTATCCAGGGGATAGGGGGGGCACCCAGAATGGTGGGGAGCCCCATTCCATGGAATGGGAGTTCAGACTGAATTAAAAGGGAAAAGGAGGAAAGTAGGCTGAGATCTGGCTCTCACACCCTCCTGCTTTCCATGACCAGATGCTTCATGCTTCCTCCACCATGCTGTTTCATCCACTATGGACGGCAGCCTCTAAGTGTGAACCACAAGAGACCCTTCCTTCCTTTGTCTGGTATTTTGTCACAGAAGTGAGAAAAAGGAAAAACAAAACAAACAAACAAAAAACCCTCCCCTAGTCATGTCAGCTGAGCGGGTTCTCTGCTCTGCGAGGCATTCTGCCTTGCTCACAGTCTTTCAACCCAGTGGTTTTAATGCTGATCTGCTCAGTGTCTGTCTCATCCCTCCAGTTTGGGCTCCTCTGTGTTTCCTTGGCTAACGGAGCAGGTATTTCAGAGATGTTTGTATACGGAGAAGCAACACTTACAGCAGAAATTCTCAGGCTTTTGTGTTTCTTTGGGAACCTTGGAAGGAGACTGAGGAATGTCTTAGCCAGACTGTAAAGAAACAATTCCACCCTCTCCTCTCCCTCTCTCCCCTGAAAACTGCAGAAAACCATGCTATATACACACCAAATTCTGAATATTTGTTATATAGGCAGCCATAAAGAAGTCTGGGATGATTTCTTATTCCATAGTCTGGCAACAAAAAGTAACTTCAAAATTCAACAAGATGGAAAACAGGCAAGAAAGCCATTCCTTACTCTAATCTCTGGAGGAACTTTACAAGAGGCCAATTACAACTCAATAACACTTCTCACATCCCTTCTGGACACTCCAGAGTCTTCACCATTTCTCACCTGTCCCCAAGTCTCTCATATGCCAAATCC